TTTTTACCAGATAATTTTTGGTAGTGCCTATTTTATATGACCATGTTATATTTTACATGAATAGAAGTTTGCCCAGTTCATTTTCTCCATTTTGATTGCATGTAAACATTTTGTGATTTACAATAGATTAAACTTCCTGATTGATACCACCAAATCAGACTTGATAACTCATGTCTTAATTTGGTATGGTCTTATTTCAGGAAACATGTTTCCCCTTTTACATAGAAAATGGAGCTTAAACATGCTTGTTACTAGGAAGGTTTTTTTTTTTTCAGGTCATTTTACAGTTTGAGGTTTAACTGCTGGGTCACTCTATTTATTATGCTTTATTAAAACAGATTTGGACATGGTCATATCATTGCTGGCAAGATTATAGTTTTGTATGTCCATTATTACTGAACACTACTAAAGACATAATGGGGACCAGAGAGGCCAAGTGGTCTAAAGTGCTCTCCTTTATGGATCACTGCCTCCTGTATGCTTGGGTTCAAGTCTTGGATTCAGCCAATGTGGATATGTGAGAATAGCTTGTCAGTAGCTTCTCATGGGCCATTGGTTCTTTTTGGTTATTTCCTGGGTTCTTCCTCCACCATTATTACAGGCTGCCATGTATAGCCTATTGTCTGCTGAAAAATGGCATTAAAACCTACAACAAAATATAAGAGCACTCACAAGCAGATATAATTTTTTTTTAAGTTTCAGAAACCACTTGCTTACAGATTATATTTAATGTTTTTATACAGCATCTTTACTCTATTTTTGGTGTAAATTGGCTGGTAGTAAAGCTGTTATTCTCTGTTTGACTGCTATTCATGTATTCTGCTCCCAACAATGACCTAGATTGGTCTATAATGTGTTAAGCAGTTACGAACACCAACTATTTTTTTTTAGCAGGATTCCACTGTGTATTGTACATTTTATAAAATCTATTTCAGGTTTATATATTTTTGTTCATATATATCTGGTTGGCTCGAGTGGGCATTGATGATTGTAAATGCAATGTACTTATCTTAAATCATTGTAACGGTTTTTATATTGCTTAACTGTGCTGAGTGAAAGAAATACATGTATATACTTTTGTTTCTTTTTTTATTGATATTATTTTTGTGGAATTTACTGGAGGATCACATTCACACTCTTCATTATCAAAAATATGCATCCGTCTTTTGTAGTCAAATGGACAAGCAGTGATTGAGTTTTGAATTTTTTAAGAAAAGAAAAAAATAATTTGACATTAAAAACTGATAAATGTTATAGCCTTAATAACAATTTACCTGTAAGCACTGTGTTTGTGAAACTCTCAGAATTTTAGAGTTGACATGTATAAGTTTCATTACTTCAATAAATTGTACTTAAATAGTCTATTCTAATTATCTGTATCAGTCTTATTATTGTGAGATGAGTCAAAATATAATATAAAAAAAATTGCAATTACAGTTGGCATTATTATGTCCACCATAAGGTTCAGCATATTATGTTGTGATGTCTGTCCAATCATTTGTTTTTTGACTGCTTCACCTTCTACACATAGCAAACTATAGATGATTTCCATGTGTGATATGGAATAAGTTTTTCAACCAAAGGTCAATGTCATTTTGAAGAAAAATATTGTTTCTCCATAGCAGATCAAGACCAAACTTTGTGGATGGCTTGCAGTCAGGGTAAGGAAAAAATCTATTGATATTGGAGTTTTAGAGTCAGGTCAAGGTCACTGGAAAAAGAAATATGGTGTTGGGGAAAAACTTTCAGCTCTAAAGCATGTACCTTCACCAAAGTTAGTGGATTAAGTAAGAAAGCCTTCTGAATTTGTGGTCAAAATAGAAAATCTCAATGTCTGAAAGAATCACTTTTGCAACAATAACTTCAGTTCTATACCCTGTATCATGGCCAAAGTTTATGAAGAGATTGCCCTTTGAGCTTGGGAGAACCTTTGTTCTAGATTAAGTTTTTTGACCAAGATTTGTGGATGACATGCACTTAAGTTATTAAATAAATCTTTAGATTATCGTTGTAGAAGTCAGATAAATCCAGTAGGATAATACTGTAATGGATTCTGCATAGTAAGTTTAGTTTAAAACCGCATACCTTGACAGATGGTCCTGGTCACTAGTAACCATTGGTCAATAAACTCTAGAGTTGCACATTACCTGTGTTATCTTCTGCCTATTAAAATAGATCCAGGCATATGCAGAGATGCTACTAGGACACAGGATCGTGAATTTTGTGCATCAAAGATCGTTAGTCATGCAACTTCTCAATACCAATGGAGAAAAGGTGCAAATTATTTGCATTTCCGACAATTTGTTGCTCCAATGTACGCTGTATTTTTCTGTTTCTTTTTTAAGACAAAAATTAAAATTTTTCGGATTTAGTTTTGGTCATCCATTTTGCTAGTGATACATAGCCTGGAATGCTGTATTATCGTGGTACATAACATTGTTATCAGTACACAACAAAACCAAAAGGTTATTGTTGCATTGTTACGAATTGTCAAGTTTCTTTGATTTTCTCTCTTTATTTCTGTAAAAGGTATCAGTCAATCCAATTTTGTTAATGTAAATAAAAGCGCATGTGTCGTCTGATCCAGATTAACTGTACAATGGGGGAACAACTCTATGTTTTCCCGGTATTTACCTAAATTATGTATGGTAGCACGCCCATATTATAATAAATACACATTTCAACTTGGTGATAAGATGTACCATCCACGCTTGCACTGGCGGAAAAGTTTTACCAAAACAAAGAAGTTAATGACTAAATTGAATGCATTATTGTCAGTTAAGTTGAAATCCTTGATAACAACAGTAGTAAAAAAATATGTATCACTTTGTCTGAATTAAATGCAATGTACGCAGAGAAGTCTATATGCGAATAATCAATTATTAATAATATTGTTATTAAAATATTACTAATTTTAAAAGTAGCTTAACTATTTGCTTTCCTATTTATGTTGGATTCGTAGGCTCATTAGCAGCATTTTGTCAATTCGGATCCATAATGGCTACCATGAAATCAAATTGCAACCTTGACCTTGTAATGACCTATGACACTATCAGGATATGACCTTTAATTATCAAACAACAGAGGATACACTGAATAAATTTCGTAATCAAATCCAATGCAGGTATAGCAAGTTTGCTTGGAGTTTTGTGTACGCTGATCAACTTAATTTAACGCAGTTTCCAAAAAAGTGATGTTCATACTTTTTTTACTGTAAAATTATAAAAACGTTGACATGTTAGAGGAAAGTTTGCTATAAGATATTTTCATCCTTGCTGGCTACAGCTATACATACCTAGACAACCGCTAGACAACGCGTGTCCCAAATTAATCGGAAAATATAAAGCCCGCGATAATATAGCTTTGGACTATACATGCCACCCATTACACTTTTGGCCTAATCGTTACGCTTTTTTTTTTCTTCATTAAATTATGCCTTACACGTAAATGTATTTGGATTACGCTTTTTCGGTACATCCCCCTCCCAAAAAATTCATTTGTTTTCTCCTTTTTATTAACATCGCACTAATCGCACAGAACGTATTCTAGAAAAGACGGCTTCTGTGTAACTATGACATAAAAGTACACTTGTCTGTAGACTAGCGGTGACTCTCTTAAGCGCTATGTTCTATTTATAGCAGCTGCCCTATTTCCAAGAAACCTGTATGTTTGACCTCTGTTCTATTTATAGCAGCATAGCAGCTGTCTGGCTTGGTACAGAACAGTGTGGTTTTCTAATTTGTAATCTTTGCTTACATATTCTTTATTAAAAATAATGTGAGGTGCAGAACCATTATATAGGAATTTGCCGGTAAAAGTAGTCCTATTTATTCTAGTCAGTGTTTATGTTAAAGCAAAAATGTTTCACGAATGATTTCACAGATGGATTTATTTTTTTAAAAAAAACGAAAAAAAAAAAGAGATGAATACAATAATACCACAATACAGTGCCATTCTAGGGCAGCTTCGCGTCAGTTGCAGGCTGTAAGAAAAGGATTTTAATATTGGTCATAGTGTAAAACAAAGACGTCTTGAAATAGCTCGGTTTGCTAACTCCAATACTAAGGTAACTTCTTTTTTTTTTTTTTTACAGCAGAATCAAATTGTGGAAATGAATTTTATAAATGCAGGGGCGTTTTTTTACCGAGTTCTTAATAGAACACTGACTACAACTAGTGGTAGAATACAACTTTGGTCCTTTGTTCAAACAGATGCATCCTGACGCCAAAGTTGAGGAAAATATGTATGTGTTTTGTATATATGCATTTTATGCTCAGATTACTCCTTTTGTCTACTTGGATTACGTTTTTTCCTCGCCAGGGGTTGGCATGTATGGTGATTTCATTCAAGCTATACTTAGATTAGTGTTTTAATACAAGCCTCAGTATGATTGAGATCTGCTGCTGATTTTCCAATTTATTTGTCTTCTAGGGCGTACAACAAACTGTTATATTGATCAGCCATAACAGAATTGTATAGAACGTAACTGGCAGCGAGTTTTATGAAATGTTAACGTAGAAGGTAACAGGATTCTTTACGGTAAGCATGTCTCCTTTCCCAAAGGATTGCTAGATTTCAACCAACGTTAAAATCCTGCTTTATAATAATGAGCCCTTCTGTAAATTGAATTCACAGCATTTACATCATTTACAAGTGTTACGGTTCCTGATATTCAGACCTCCAGACTTAGGTTGTTGCCTGGTTCCCAGCTCCAATGTAGCTTTCGTTCTTATCTTTACGTAAAAGTATGACGGGGGATCAGTCTGATTTAGGTTACAACATAAAAATTTTGCTCAGAAACGTTGGATTTCAATCGCATCCATCATACCTCTTGATTCCTATGAGGCTTTAAAATGACTTGGATTTAACGCATCATTTGCAGTCATTTAGATGAGTTCTGAAGTTTGTGTGTGTGTGATTTGGATTTTTAACACAGATCACCAGGAACTTTATTGCAAACGAATCGCATTATCCCCGTCAAAAAATAAAAATAAAAGTAAGACCGCTCTGGTGGCATAGTGGTTAGAGCGTCCGCCTCAGATGTAGGAGGTCGCAGGTTCCATCCCCGGCCGAGTCGTACCAAAGACTTTCATAAATAGTACTAACGGTTGCCTCGCTTGGCGCTCAACATCAAGAGGTTAGTGTTGAGACTGGCCTGCCTTTTGTCAGGATAATGTGACTGTGTGGGACATCATGCAACATGATGCCCCATTGCTAGATATCGCTATAAACCGATACACTGCAGACATTATAGGGATTAAACGGAAAAATTGTTAAAGCTGCGTTAAAAATCCAAATCACACACACACACACAGACAGACACCAGCCTCAACGGACACCAGTAGCTTCAGTGGTGGCAACTATTACTATAATTGATGGTTACGTAGGTATTTATGTCGTGAAACCGAAGTAAGGATAAAACTTCATGACCGCACCGGTGCCCTAGTGGATTGAGCGTTCTTTGATGCGGGATGGAGCAGGTTCAAACCCCTGCCGAGTCGTACCAAAGAGTTATAAAAATGGTACTATGAGCTGCCTCGCTAGGCGTTCAGAATTAAGAGGTTAGTGTTAAGGCTGGTCGGCCTTGTGTCGGGATAATTTGACTGAGTGTGACATCATGCAACATATCTGTGGCATGATGCCCCAGTGCGTTACGTTTAAAATCCAAATCTCTCTCTCTCTCTCTCTCTCTCTCTCTCTCTCTCTCTCTCTCTCTCTCTCTCTCTCTCTCTCTCTCTCTCTCTCACTCACTCACTCACTCACGCACACACACACACATCCAAACTATTGACTGTCTACAAACCTTGTATTGTGCGAATTAGATGGCTGTACGTTGTAATTCTCCAAATAATTCAGACATCACCAAACTCTTCAAAATGGTTAGCTTTTCTAGAATTTAAACTACATATTTAATGTGATGCACAAAATGTGATCCATGTAGTTGATTGTTTGATCTGAAATAAATAAAACATTTATATGGTTGAGAAACGAAAGACATTTACGCTTACAGATGGAGAGCATATTTCAGACGACTGCGAAGGCAAATAAAATATATCTAAACAATTTCAGTATAAAACTGCAGCAAAGGTCACTTGAGGGTGATGATTGTTCAGTACAATGCTGGTAAAACGTGGAAAGAAGAAGAAAAAAATAGGTTAATGTTTTAGGAAAGTAAAATAAGTTTGCAATTAAACGAATGGTGTAAAATTAGGTGTACTCCTAACTTCTGCTGCCGTTGTAGGCCTTATCCTTTCCATGCGAGATCACTCACATAGATGGATTTATTAGCATCTATCTATCTATCTATCTATCTATCTATCTATCTATCTATCTATCTATCTATCTATCGCTAAATTTATACATACAGGCACACATATACATACTGTTATATATATATATATATATATATATATATATATATATATATATATATATATATATATATATATATATATATATATATATATATAATGATTTCATTTTTATAATTATATGATTATAGATTGTATCATTTTAAAACACATGACGTAGCTTAAAAATAGTGTTATGCACTTTTAATTAGAGTAAACCTGTTATTGTGGCCTTTTTACATCGTAAGTTGTAGAAGAAATCTTGCTGATGAACTTGGTATTTGAGTTCAAGTCATATGTTTTTCCCTAGGAAAACTAGGTGAGGTAATTTATGTATGGCTAACTGCTAAATACCTAACATTGTTGTCAAGTTAAATATTCTGGTAATGATTATTGGACCCTCGTTCTGGTTCTAAAATTGCTTCCTAGTTGGGTTGGGGGGAAGGGCTATAAAATGTTTCCTTGAGAATTTGTTATATCTTTCTTAAAGACATTCTTAGTGGAGTCATTTAGGTCTATTAACTGGAGAGAAGTTTATTTCAATAGTTCATTGAAATTAGAAGGTGCTTATAAACATTAGATGAAGTAGCTGTGATTGATTTCCTGTAAATTTCATTGAAAGACATTTTCGATGTTTTCATTGTGATGCATCACTACAGTTCGAACAGCGGTCTCAAGCATGCAGCCACGTGCCACATGCGGTCAGCCTAGACATATCCTGTGGCCCGCAAAATGATTGGCGTCAAAAGGTGTCTATCTGGATTACTTTGGTCTAACTATTTTGATATAGTCCTAATCATCATCTGAAATATGGTGTCCTTGAAAAGGGTGGAATGAATAAACTACAAATTTAATATGTCTTTTAATACAAAATAATTACACCTCCATGTGACAAGTTAATTCCACGCCCACCCTAGGCACTATACACAGAATCACTGCAATTCAATTACATTTACTTATATGTGTGCATATGAGTTGAATCGCACATAATCTAGTCAATGCATATAGTTCGGCGGTTTTTCTGTGTGGTTTTCTTTTTCTTTTTTTTTTTTGGTTGTTGAAGACAAACGAATAAATCGATGCATCATAATTCCGTTCTCAAATATATTTATTCAAACACTTTCACCCTAGTGCAGAATTGTATGGATTGTAGGGATTACTGTCCAATTTAGGTTCACCTCATTTACTATTTAAATATCCATTCTTCCTTCTTAAAGGCTAATCATGTTTGGGAGATAATCAATTTCTATACAAAATCACCTACGTTGAGTATATTTATCTACTTATAATTTATTGCCAATCGTTTTGCTTTCTGTGGATTGACCTTCTTATTTACTTGTTCTTATCAAGGCCTACTTGGAACAATGTGTACTCCAATAAGTATTCGTTACGGATTTTCAAAATGCATCTGGAACACGGTTTAAAAGTGAGATTTATTCGGCTGGATACATAAATTATTTAGAATAAAAAAGCTTCTGTTAAGGCGTGGATAATATATTATAGATAATGACTACAGTTTGATAGTTGTTGATTTTATATATTGCGTATTGAATGTTTTCTGTTCTGGCGCGGTTCTACCTTTAGAAACGAATTCGATATCGTATCAACTCACAGATAGTAAAGGTAGGCTAACATTTATGAATTCACCTGTCAATTTAAATTGCTAATTAAGAGCAATGTGTCCAATTAATTCAATTGAAGGTATTGTACATCATGCTAAAAGTTAATTAGCAAGTATTTCGCATCTGTGCCATATATCATAGAGCATCCGTTTCTAATTATGTGCATTATTGACCCAGTTTTCAATTCTTTTTACCTTATATGCCGTGTTAAGAGTAAAACATTAAAACATTAGTTTGTTACTGGCCATTCATCGGTATATCCATTATGTTCATATATATATATATATATATATATATATATATATATATATATATATATATATATATATATATATATATATATATATATATATATATATATATATACCTTTATTCATCCAAACATTCAAGCATAGATTTTCATCTACCTGTATACGATTCTATCTTTGTTTCTCCAATATGTCTGTATCCGTTGTTCTGTATGTGACTATATATATATATATATATATATATATATATATATATATATATATATATATATATATATATATATATATATATATATATATATATATATATATATATATATATATATATAATTCTTTGTAAAACAAAAATCCTATATACCTTGATTTCTTTCAGAGGAATCTGGAACGACTGTGTGTATATATGAGAATTAATTACTAGGTCGTCATGCGAGTGTGTCTGCTACGCAAGAGCTTATATAACAACGATTCAGTGCCATCATTTTTTTGGTGATGCGTGCTTAGTCGTGACGGTATATGGGTTGGTGCGTGCAGGCAAGGCGATGGGTGCCATTTACTCGCGGACCTGGGTTCGAAACTCGGTAGAGTACGAATTTAATTTCTCTAACCTGTGTGATAGTATTTTTTGTATTAAACTATATACACACACATATATATATATATATATATATATATATATATATATATATATATATATATATATATATATATATATATATCTGTACGAGTGAATGGCAGCATATATTGATGGCTTATTTGATCCATGTAAATTCACATCGGAGTTATTTATTTTTTACCAGGCATAAACATGTCAGGTTTCCTGAATATAATTCAAGTGAGCTAGGGTAGTAGAAAGGTAAAGGCATAGTGTACACACACACACACACACACACACACACACACACACACACACACACACACACACACGAACGATCCATCCTATCTTTCGTTCTGGCTCGGCTACTGAGATGTGTCTTGGCACTTTACTGAGAATGCCTCTATACCAAATAACCTTTACATGTTGATAAACTGTAAAACACTAAAAGCTGAAAACATTCTTGAAGGGGACTGACACTCTACCGGCTAAAAGAATTTCCATTAATTTATGATAAGTCCGTTTCTCCATTTTAACTGCTGATTGCAGAAACATTCTGCGATGTTCTTCAGCGATGACAAGATTTTTAAATTAGCTGCTGTGTTGCACATGCTCGAAGTCAGACTGGACCCATTATTTTTAATGGTCAGCAAGATAATATACGTTTTCTGGTGGAAACGCTGCGTTGATTTGACTTTCCATCTTAAAGGAGGGAGGATAATATAATTTTAAAAATAGCTGCTATGATGGCTAAACTGGATATTAGATTTGCATTTGTTTCTTGATCTTCTCCCTACGTCAACTGCAGGAGAAGTGTTATGAGCAGCAGATGCTCCACTACATTGGCTTCATAGACCTGACAAAGGCGTTTGAACTGGTCAGCCGGAGTGGAGTCTTCAAGCTCCTGAAGAAGGTCGGCTTCCCCCTCGACTGTTCGCTATCATAACATCATTTCACCAGAACACTCAAAGCATAGTGTGCTTCAACGGCGCAACATCAGAGGCCATCCCAGTCAGCAGTGGAGTAAAGCAGGGTTGTGTCCTTGCACAAGCCATATTTGCCATCTTTTCTAACATGCTCATCCAGTACGCCTTCAAGGACTGCAGCTAAGGAGTGTACATCCACACCAGGGCAAACGGCAAACTGTTCAATATCAAACGTCTCCGTGCAAAGACCAAAGTCACAGATGTTCTCGTCCGTGAATTGCTCTTTGCCGACGATGCAGCCTTGACATCACATTCGGAAGATGGACTTCAGCAGCTGGT